TAGTATGCGTAGTATGCGTAGTGTGTGTAGTATGCGCAGTATGCGTGGTATGCATGGTATGCGTAGTATGCATAGTTATGTAAAGTTGTAGGAGGTGGAATGCCTACGTCTCCGCCTCTGCCATCTCTCTGGCCACCGAGAGGTATGGCAGGAGGTCCGTCCTTTGGAGGAGCCATTGGGCCACGGCCTTTCTTCCTTTCTGGCTTCTGTAGAGCTGTTTATATGTCCTCGTCTTGGCCTTCTGGAACAGCTCGCCCCTGCCCTCAACGTGTCTTCCGCAACTTATTACAATGTGTCTTGGGGATTGGAGGCTATGCCCGCAAGGGCATGCCGGCGTCGGGTGGCCGGGCACTCTCATACGGTGGAGGTAACCGTTGAGCCCTATATGCTCCGTCCGTAGGTTCGTGATAATTGTGCTCTCTACCTTCGTGAGTCCTTTGTGTAGTGCCTCTTGTCGTTTGCTCCATTTAGTGTCGAGTGCTGGTGTTGGGGGTCCTTGGCGTAGTTCTTTACGGTAGGCTTCCCATTCCTTCTTCCACTTCTCTTTGTATTCATCCTGGATCATGCCACGCCTTGTGCGCCTATAGGATTCTTCCGATTCGCCTTCGTATCGTGCGGCTAGCCGTGATGCCTTCGCCGCGAGCTTGCGGAGTTCGTCGCGCCTGCTTGGGCCGTACCGTGGTGTTCCTTTCGGCCTGTATTTAGCACGGACCGTTTCTTTTATGCGGCTGCATTGGGTTTCGATGTGCTCGCGGGCTGGCCCCTCGCGTGTGCGGTCCGCGTAGGCCACCGTAAGTTCCTCCAGCTTTAGCCGGAGTAGAGGGCATAATGTCTCGTGCTCTATTACCCTGATGTTTGTTGTCTTGTATGCCCCTGAGATAGCACAAAGGCACTAGTTCTGTGCTGTTTTGAGCTGCTTAATCTTTATCTTGCTAATCTGCTTTTTCATGCCCGGTGTAGTATACCAGGAGGTGCATCTGTACATAATGGCAGGCCTAATAACCGCCGAGTATATTGTGCGTGCCTTCCGGAAGCTTGCACCCCAGGTCGACGCCGTAAGCCTCGTAAGGGCCCCCATCTGGGCCATGGCTTTGTTCTTCGTGGTGTTAATATGCGGGCCCTATTTAAGTTTGGAATCCACCTGGACCCCTAGTATTCTTAGGTCTGTTATAGGGCCTTCGGTAAAGCCCTATATATTAACTGTAGCTTTTATATTAATAGACTTGCGGGCTCTTATAAAGTGTATTAGGTGGTATTTATCTAGCGCAAAGACTGCTCTATGCTTTCTTGCCCACTCCATGCACCGGTCGTGCGCCCGTTTAATGGCCCTGCAGTTTTCTTCTATGCTTTTGCTATATATAAGGATATTTGTGTTGTTAATAAACCCGTAGGCCGTTGTATTGCCGCGCTATAGCATTAGTAGGAGCGTGCTGGTAAAGAAGAGGAAGAGTATTAGTAATAGGGAGGAGCCCTGCAGTATTCCTATAGTAACTGCAATAGGTTCCGCTATAAAGTTTCCGATAGCGAGCCTTATAGTACAGTCCTGTAGGAAGGACCTTATAAACCTAACTATCTACTCCGGCACTTGTTAAATCTGTAGGTTATGTATTATATATTTATATAACACACGGTCGAACGCCCCTAATATATCTAGGCTAAGAAGTAATACTATAAGCTGTGGATTTCCTCTCTATACAGCGTGGATTTATTTAGTAAGGAGCTTGAGTGCTGTCTATATTAAACGTCCTAGTTGTGCCCCTATCTAACTAGGTGGAAGCATATCCTTTTCTTCCGCAATTTTCAATAGCCGCATAGCTATAATCCGTTTAAATAGCTTGCCTATTGTTTCTAGCAGGGCGATCGGCCTATAGGCTATTGCCGTTGTATAGGACGCTTTCTAGGGCTTACGTAGCACCACTGTAATAGAATCTTTAAACGGCCGAGGATAGTGTCCTTTATATAGGCACCTTGTAAAGAACCGAGCCAGCATAGGCGCCAGCTGTATTTTGCACTTCTTAAGAAACCTGTTGGTAATCCCTGTAATACCCGGGGCTTTGTCTAGGGCAGTTCCTATTAGCGCTAAGAGGATATCCTTAATTATAACATCTAGCGTGGTGTTGTATAGTTCCGGGTATTGGAACCCCTCTAGGTCGGACAAGTCTGTATTAGCCGGAGGCGGAAAGAACTGCTCCGCTAGTATGCGTGCTTTTGTTTTATTATCTATATATAGAGTAGGGTCCTTAGGTTTTAAAAAAGGGGGAAATTAAGGCGGAGGTCTTAATTCCTTGCCAGCTGTACGGCCCTAATTGGCCAGCTTCTATACACCCTTTAGGTCCTTTATTACTTTCTCTACTGTACGGCGCCACGCCTTAGTGCTCTCCCTCTATATAGTTCTCTTCTTGCGGTTGCACTAGACACAGTATAATATCCAGTTCTCTATAGATTGCAACAAGCGCCATATTCTATACACCCTCCTAGTCTTATGCACTTCCTCCGAGCATTCTTCTAACTATGCCGGCGATGCCTGTTTTAATGGCCTTGCAATAGGCACCGTAGCAGCGATTATGGCCTGTATGCATTTATAGAGGAGGCGTGCGAATTTATTAAGGTCCTCCTCCGTGTCTTAAGGGTTGTTCCAGTTGTCCAGCTCGTCTAGCTGGGTTTAGAGGTGCTCCCGCGCCTTCTTCTAGTCGGCATTCTTCTACAGCCGATGTTGTAGCTGTTCTACTGCACTTAGTAGGGTGATGTCGAACTCTGTATATATAGGGCGGTGATCTGAATTGCAGTTCTATTCCTCTTGCACTATGCAGGAAGTGGTTCGTTCTGTTAGCTATTCTGTTGTGAACGTAAGGTTAATTGTAGACCACAATGTTCCTCTCGCCTATGTTTCTATGCCTTTCTCCGTGGCTAGGTCCATTCCTGCTTCTGTTGTAATGCGGATAAGCTCCTCCGCTTGCTCCTCCGTGTTTATCACTCGTATTCCTCCCCACGATGGGTGATGTAGGTTTATATCACCTACAAGGACGTGCTCCGCGTTGTTGTTGTTTAGCAGTGGGGGTAGTGCAGCTATGATTCCGTTTGGTTTCGGGTTGTAGATATTGTGAATTTGGATGTCCTCTCTACTGGTATAGAGAGAGAGGGTGATAAGGTCCGGCGAGTGGTGCTCTACTAACCACTGGTTAATGTCGAGGTTCTTGTTAATATATATGCACGTTCTCGTGTGTGGGCTTCCTCCGTGTAGAAGGTAATAGGACTTTGTGCGGAGTATTGTATGCTCTTATTGCTGTGTGTTCTTCTATAGCTCTTGTATTGCTAGCACCAGCGGTTAAGGCTGGGCTCTCTCCGCTTTTTCCAGGAACTCTCTCTAGGTCTCGCGGCTCTTGTTGACGTTGTACTGTATAATGGTAAGTATGCTAGGTTGTTCTAATATTAAACTATGTCCATAGTGTCTGCGGCGTTCGCTGCACCTGTTTTGGCGCGTAGTTGCTGGCTTGCATCGTCTTCCTGTGAGGACGGCACTTAGGTAACAGTTTTAAGTTGTGAGAGTCCATCTATATCTCCGTATGTTGTCGATTAAGTTAACTAGGTTAGAGGCTGTAAGGATGGCGATGCAAAGCGAGAAGTATGCAGTGTCTGAGAAGGCGTTAGATAGGAAGATTGCTGCGTTGAACGAGCAGTCTGCATCATTCCGTTGATCTTCGGCTGGCTTAGGTCCTTGTTAGGATGCTCGAACATCTTCGGTCGTCCTACTCTCTTTAGTGCTGTTGGCGCTGGCCCTAGTTCTGTGCTGCCTTCGCGTGCGTCGTCGTCAGCAGCTCTCCTCTTCCTGGACTGGGTTGAGGTTGTACACACCCCCAGCGGGGCCTGGGGCGTGTACAAGCTCGGCCCCTTGTTGGTGTTGTATCGGTGTGGCGTTGCCCACCTCTTTGACGTAGCCCGTAGCTGGGCCCCTTTCCTTATGCTGCATTCGGCACTATATGCCGGGTGGTTTCTCTTGCAGTTGGCGCACTTCTTAGTGTCTGTTGCCGTGCATTGTCTTGTGTCGTGTTCCCCTGCGCATACTGCACATCGGATGTCCTTCTTACAGTGTCTTGCAACGTGCCCGTAGCCCTGGCATCTGAAGCACTGTGTGGCTACAAAGCCTGCTTTATATTTTAAGGCTGTCAGCAATTGTCCACTTATTGCAAAAAAATAGTAGTATAACTATATTATATAAGTTACCTATTAAAATCTAAAGATATAATTTAATACTGCTATTTAAACCTTTAAACTATAAGGTTATAGTATTACTAAAGTGCGGTAGAAGGCTAGTATAGTATATAGTAATCTTCTTTTTATATAGCTACTACTTTTTAGTAAAGTAATTAACTAAAAGTTGTTTATATATATAATCTAATTTTATCTTATTTTAAGCGGCTATAAACTTATCCTCTATAGGTTTTACTAGGTAGAAGTTAAGCTTATTAATAAATTTCTTTTAATCTTTCTATATAGCCTTAATTTTAGCTATTATTAGATTTTAAAAGGCATATACTATATTCTATAAATTTATAGTATTAGTTACTGCTTACTTATTATTTTTCTAGATAGCTATAGCCTTACTAGTAATATTCTTCTATACGTGCTATTTATATAAAAGTTAAGAAATAGTAGAAAAGAACTTAGCTAGCGTATTTTTAAGTGCTAGCTTTTTATCTATAATAAAAACGCTTGGCGAAACTCCTAGGCGCTAGTATATAAAATAAAGCTTATATACTACAAAAATATAGTCCCTTTTTTCTTTTTTTAGAAGAAAATAATAGCCTAGCTTATAGTTTCTACTTTAGTTAGTAACGCTGTTAATATAGAAAAGCGGTATTTTAAACTTATTTATTTTATAGGTGTAGTTAAAAAGAATAATATTAGGATTTTTCTAGAATATCTAAACACTTTTAAAATATATAAAGTATAGATACTTAATATAGTTTACTTTATCTAGCTTATATTTATAGTAGTAATAAGCGTCTAGGTTATTACTACTATATTTCTTAAGCATTTTAAGAATAGCCTAAGTTAAAGTAAGCCTTTTAAGCTTTATTTTCTTCTAGTCCTATTTTTTATTATATAGGTTTTATATTATTATATTTTTACTCTTAGTAAGTAGGTTATTAAAAATAGTACTAATAGGCGTGCCTCTATTAAGCTAATTATAGATAGTTTAAATTATATCCTTATTAAGATTTTAGTGCATAGCTAGAGTTCTTTTATCCGGATTAAATAGGTAGTAATTATAGCTAGAAACCTTAACTTTAAAGAACTAATTACTTAGCTATAGGTTTTTTATAAAGCAGGCTTTTATAGGGTAATTATACTTTTTTAAACAGGTTTTTTTCTTCCGATTAGCAGGTGTGTATACACCTGCGTAATTATAATAAATAAGCACCTTATACACCTAAAAGGGCGTGCGCTTATCTATTTTATTCCTATACCGGACAATTATATATTCTTCCTGCTTAGCCTAGGCGTTAATAGATTTTATACTATTCTCTATAAAAGCGTAGCAGCCCTAAAAAGGCGGCCGAAAGGGTATAGTATTAAAGTAATAATATAAAGGAATTAGTATTAATATATTAAAAGTAAGTACGCGGGTAATATAAATCCGAACTAAGTATAAGCAGGTAAATAAGTAAGTTTAATTAGTAGAATAATATTTATACGGGCCGGAGCTAGGCTAAATATAAAAGGGGGGCTAGAAAGAAAAAAAAAGAGGGCTATAAAAAAAATAGAGGGGTAGTAATTAAGCTTATCCTATATTAATAAGGTTGTATACTTATTTTACTCTAAAGGCACCTACTTATAGTATAGCTATAATAGTTTTTTATAGATAAGCTTAATTACTACCCTTCTATTCTTTTTATAGCCCTTTTTTTTTCTTTTTCTAGCCCCCCTTTTATATTTAGCCTAGCTCTAGCCCGTATAAATATTATTCTACTAATTAAACTTACTTACTTACCTACTTATACTTAGTTCGGATTTATATTACCTGCGCACTTACTTTTAATATATTAATACTAATTCCTCTATATTATTACTTTAATACTATACCCTTCCAGCCGCCTTTTTAGGGCCGCTATACTTTTATAAAGAATAGTATAAAATCTATTAACGCCTAGGCTAAGTAGAAAAGATATATAATTATCCGGTATAGAAATAAAATAGATAAGCGCACACCTTTTTAGGTATATAAGGTGCTTGTTTATTATAATTACGCGGGTGTATACACGCCTGCTAATCGGAAGAAAAAAACCTATTTAAAGAAGTATAATTACCCTATAAAAGCCTGCTTTATAAGAGACCTATAGCTAGGTAATTAGTTTTTTAAAG